CAAGAGGTTAAGTCAGAGTTAGAACAGTGTACCACTACAAGGTCAAAGTGATCAGAGGAGACGCTTACCTACACCCCTGAACCTAACAAATATGGAAAACATAGTAGAGTTAAGCTGGGCTAGGCACCAATATTCTTAAATAGCTTCCTTTCCTTTGTTACTACTGGGGGATTGGATAGGTGTTCAATTACAGAACTTAACCTCTATGGGATCGGTGTCCCTTATATGGGACGGTTGTTGCTCAATATGCGATATGTGACTAGAATGGTGTTGTTAACAACAGCCAACTTTCCGGGACATAGATATGTCTTATATGGGCAGAAATCTTAAATTCTTGTTAATCTAACTGCAGTGTCCAATTTACAGTACCTATTACAGCTAAAAAATACCATGCTATTGTTTGAGAATAGTGCACAACAACAAAACACTTTTATCACGGCAACTGGTTTGGTACATTCACCTCTGAAGGTAAATAATGTACTTACATTCAGTAATATTGCTCTGATTTGTCATCCTGAGGGTCCCAAAGATAAAATGTATTGTAGTTTTGTTTAAAACAATCACTTTTTATATTCAAATATAGGAACTGGGTTCTACAGTTTGACCTCTGACTCCACACCCACCCCGCCCGGCCATCTAGATGTGTGAAGGTTAGTGTATTTCCTGTAGGGAAGCTAATGATCCATCATTTATGACATTCCTGGGAGTGTGCAAACTTACATTTTGTATTAACATAGGATTTTTGTATATTCTCTATAGTTACGTACCAATTCGGCACATTTGGGAAAACTCCTGGCAGACTTGATACAAACTATTTTGTAGTGATGTAATTCTTTACTGGATCAGTCTGAAACGTTGCATACACACTGCTGCCATCTGGTGGACAACGTCTAAATTAAAACTAGAATCCCACATCACTGTCTGGCCTTTCTCTTGCATTTCAAAGATGATGCAACAATGTATGTATCTTTTACTAGATCTAATGTGTTATATTCTCCTAAATTTCCACAAACTTCAAAGGGTTTCCTTTCAAATGATATCAAGAATGTGCATATCCTTGCTTCAGGTCCTGAGCTACAGGCAGTTAGATTTGGGTATGTCATTTTAAGTGAAAATTGAAAAAAAGGGTCCGATCCTTACAGATTGGTGGTCCAGAATAGGAGAGAGGGAAAAGGAAGCTACTTAATATTATTGGAACGTAGCCATAGTCTCACTGCTCTTTTACAATCAGTCTCACAGGTGGTAGGGACTAAGGCTCCCAAACTTTAAAACGTTTGCATGCTCAAGTGGTGCCTTGGCAGAATATGTATCCATTTATTCAGCATATGTTTACATCCTCATACTCCCAACGTGTTCACATCTATTTATGTTGAGGTATTTTCTATTTACTTTTCCCCCTTCCAACCACTTAGGTGGCTTTTGCTTTTCTATTTTGGCTGCTAGCTGATTCTGTACATATTTACCAGATATAGCTGATGGATGGAATATGCGCTTTAGGAATCTTTTTTCTTTGCCTTGACGCCTTTCACTCCAGTGATATCCTTGTTGAGGGCACAGTCATGTCCCCGATGAGGATCATCCCAAAAATCATAAATCTCCACTATCCTGCTTCACCACTCAACACATAGGCTCTCCGTGGCTTTCCTTATATTGCACTTATCATTTCAAATGGAGTCCATATTTCATATGAGATACACCATCAAGGCCCCAACCCATCTCCACCGCCCGACTGAGAGAACAGGGGATACGGGGGATTTGAAGCGGCTTGCATCCCAGAGCAACATGGGCTCCAATTTTCCATCCTTCTCATCTCTATTCATGTTATGATTGATGCAGGTCATCGCTGCATTTGCCCCCGTCGCCTACAGATGTGTGTATCACATCATTTCCTCCCTTTCTTCTGGGGGAAGAAATTGTCAGACGCACAACAGTGTGAGCCTGATCTGAGTCTGTCAAGTGCGGCTGTGTGTCGTTGACTGGGGGTTGTGGAGCACCGACCGGTCGACAAGCATTTAAAGCCGCCTGTTACACATGTGCACTATGCTATTGATTTACTCCTTTCATCCCCCTCTCTCTCGCTCTCTCTCTTTCATTTGTCCCTCGTTCAAAATGAGATGACATAGCGACACACTGGGATGCATACAAACGTGCAATGCAAAACAGTCACTCTGGCTTGGTCTGCGGTATGCTGTGTCTGTGTAAAAACAGTTGCTTTCCCCAAACATGAATCCATCAGCATTGTATTCTTCACTGTATATATAACATACTGTACAAACTCAATACATAGACCTATAAGTAACCCCCACCCCCCAACACACACACACATGCACACACACATGCCATCACAGTGAGAACATAGAAAAGAGAAATTCAAAGCAAGAGGCTTGATCAATCATCCGGGCCCCTTGCATCGATGCTCATAGAAATTTCATGAACTTTAAACTGTGATTGACAGACCGACAGACTGGCCCCAGACAGACATGGCCTCTTTAAAGTGGAGAGCCACCAGGAAAGATGAAAGGGCCTCTTCCCTCACCAAACACACACTTCTAATTAAGACTGAAACACTTTGGCGATATGGCAACAATTAGCCTGACTGATGTACTCTGTGTGACTCCTATGACCTCCAGTGACCCCTGTCTGACACCACACTAGACCACATAGTTTTGAAGAGAGAGACAAATGAGGATATACCACGCCTGACTTTCAGAGGAAAGAGGGAATCTTTAAAATGATATTTAATCAGTGGAGTAGGCCTATCGGTTTACCGCATTTTGTCTCTGTACGTCTCTGTAAATTCTACACAGATGTCAATGGGACATAACTCATGTCTGGATTCAGCTCCAAGTCAATGAGTTCTTATCACATCCATGAAACTACACTTGTACTTAGTGTAAGTTCTCTGAAGTTACCGGTGGAAGAATCCTCTTTTATTAGACAGAACAGTGTTCTCCACTGAGGGAATTCCCTTTTCTTCCACAGAGACATGGCACATTTCATATATCAAAGAGAGAGATCTGCTCGTCTGTAAGGAGGGGGCCTAGCAGAACTAATGTCAGATAATAAGCGTTTCTGTGGGGGCATTTTAGGCTGTGACTCAAAAATAATAACTTCTCAGGTGTGTATGAGGGGTATTTCTTTGAGGCACACACTTTCCCTGCCTTGTCACTCCAGTCTAATCAAGGCACCAAGGAGGTAATTATTCACTAGCTGATTAACATATCTCGCCGCTGAAGCGGATGCACACTCTAATCATAGGGGTTGCGTCATTCTCGGATCTCACAGGAGACGAGAGAGGCAACAGAAGGGAGTGGGTGTGTTGCTGTCACCTCCACTTCTCTGCCCTGCTCTAGAGGACAACGATCGATGTGATGTTCTTCTGTGTCTACGCGAAGAAACTAAATGTTTGATCCGACCGTCGTTCAGTGCAATACTGTAGATACAGGGTGGGGGGTATGCTCAATCATGGAGAAATCTACTGTACAACAAAAACTGAAATCTGGAAAACAATTAACACATGGTTGTGTAAAAGCGTTCATTTTTCTTCCTATATGGCACGCAAGTTGATACCACGCATGCTTACGCATAATTACCTCCATGTGTTACAGTGTGAGTAATTAAACAATAAAAGTGCAGTAGTCAATTAGTCAGTGCACAATACTTCAAAAGGAGATCGGTGACACGGAAGGGAAAGACCAAACACCACATCGAGTAAGTCAAATATTTTACAGAGGTTCAAATCCGACACTACGGCGAACCCGAGGTATAACTCTCGCTCCTTTGTTACATGTTCACAAGACCTTTAGCATACCGCATGGAACATTAGCTAATATGTTCCATGTGGCCAGCCCGTGTGAGAGAGAGAGCGAGAGAGGGAAGTAAGGTACAGTACAAAGTGGACCATTGTTTTTCTCCTCACAGTGATAGGAACACTGGTCCTGCCCAACGCCAAGGCAATATGCCCTGTGAGAAAACAGCGACTGCCCATGCTGAAAACCTCTTAAGGGTTTAGCCTGGGAGGTAGTGGGCGCCAGGGCGCCACGTCTCCTTTCACGCCACACAACAACCAGGTCCCAACGCCAGCTCCTGCAAGCCGTCTCTGCCATTGGCTGCCTTTTTCTTCTCAGAATAACCTCATCCGAACCAGCACTGGATTGCCACACGTCAGATTAACCCAAATAAAAGGCTATGTAGCTTGGACTGGCTTCTCACACCCCTTCACTCTAACACCCAACCTCTGGGTCACACGTCCTCTCCCTCTAGTCAGATGTGTTTTGTTGTTTGGGGGATTTGGACAAGCTGAGGCTTGCCATGAGAACCCCATGAGGCTGCTGCCCCCCAGGCTAGTGAACTAGGAGTCACAACTCAGACTCAAACCATGCATCACTCCATGAAATGGATCCGACACAGCGTGTGTGTTGTACACTACACTGCCATCCATGAATGATGATATTCACTTCCTATGAATATTATCATCAGTTATGGTAGAGGAATTACTAACACTATTAAAAAGAGTACAATTTCCACGAGTAGTAGTAGTGGTAGTGGTAGTAGTGGTAGTAGTGGTAGTAGTAGTAGTAGTAGTAGTAGTAGTAGTAGTAGTAGTAGTAGTAGTAGTAGGTAGTAGTGGTAGTAGTAGTAGTAGTAGTAGTAGTAGTAGTAGTAGTAGTAGTAGTAGTAGTAGTGGTAGTAGTAATAGTAGTAGTGGTGGTGGTAGTAGTAGTGGTAATAGTGGTAGTGGTAGTAGTAGTGGTGGTGGTAGTAGTGTTAGTGGTAGTAGTCCAGAAACAGCAGTGGTAGTAATAGTAGTAGTATCATCATTCCAGTATTTAGTAGGGTTGTGTTAAGGCATGGTGGTGGTGCTGCTGGATCCATGCTGCCAGCCTCAGTGCTTGTAATGCATAGATCAATGTGGCCTATGGGGAAGAGGAATCGATGGGTGCTGAGTTATTGCAGTACTTGGCCACTGATTTTTAGAGAGCTGTGTTTTCCCAGGAAAGTCAATACCTCCAGGCTCCCCTCATTAATTTCACCCTCCCATCCTCGAGCTGCACCTGGGGATATACAACCCCTGAGAGAGACTGGAAGTCCGGGGGAGAGAGGGAGGAGAGGAGAGAGGGGGCAGAGAGGGCGAGGGAGGCTAGGGAAAGAAAGGGTAAAGGAGGGGATGGAGAGAGAGGGGGAGAAGGCTGATGGGAAAGAGAAGGAGGAGAGAGAAGGGAAGATGGAGATGTGCAGTTGGCTTTAAGAGGAAGATGCATAAATAATAAAGGAGAAATAAATGTGTGAGAGAGAAACCATCACACTTGTATTTGGATATCATGTGTGTGAGATATGGATTTCAAGTACTGCACAAAAGAAGGCTCAAATTAATGATTCTGACTGGAGGGCAAACAATCCAAGAAGCCACTGGTCTGTCTGTGTGTTTGGTTATAGGAGAAACCAGCACCTATAATATCTGTCTAGACACCAGACCCAACTCTTTAGTTCCAATATCAAGGAGACCAATTTCTCTCTGTCTCATAAGTGAATGTGGACCCAGACATATTAAGGCAGTGACAGAGTCAACATAGTCCTGTATGTCTCTGTATTGTAGATAAGCTGCAGTCACATAGAAAGTGACAGTTAACAGTGGAGTACCCCTATGAGCTCTATTCACTCAGTTTCATTGTATTGCCATTCTAGCCCATGGCAACAGTTTTACACCTAATGCCTAGGATCAAAGCCTGGAGACACCATCCTCTACTACAGAGACAGAAGAAAAAGTGGGACTTATCTAGGTCTCTTTTTTCTCTCTCAGCTGAGTTTAAAGGAATAAAACATTTAGACCCACATGTATTTCTGTCATAACACAAAGTGTGGAACACTCTCTCTTTTTTGGCATGATATCAAACAAAATAATGTGTTACATTTGTTGAAACCTTTGATATGTCATCTCTACAACTCGACTGATTTGCTATGCTATTCAACGCTGTTTGATACAAAGAGGGCTATGTTTTTGGGAGGGGACGCACTGAAAGACGAGCTCACTTGGGCATCTGGAAGTTCCCCAGAGGAAATGACATCATTGAGCCTGGATGCATTCTCTTTCCTGTTCAATTATACACAAGCTTGCCTATTTAGTATTTAAAAGCTTGCTTCATTTTGCATTCATGATGAAGACACTCCTGGCACAATAAATACGCATTAGAAATGCACACAGACAATCTTGAAATATGTATGTGTAAATCAGATTAACTGTTGATGTGTGCACAATATGGGTCTCAATCTGGAGGGAAGAACTAGAGACTAATGAGAATTGTTTTGGTTTTACAATATTATGATGCAGGCACCTGTCTGTGTTAGGAATGGCGCTACCATTAGGGAAATACAACTTTGTTGATTTGCTATCAATCAAGTCAAATAGTTTTGGTTTTCATTTTGATTAACTTCAAATACGAATGCTCACCACATTTGAGTACTTCGGTAATGATATCGCTAGCACTGTTTTGAAGACCACATGAAGTAATACAACTCCTTCCAGGGATTCACAACACGTTTTTGCTGTAGAGAACCCCTCCCACGGCCTAATAGACGTACAGAACGAGATAACAAGAGGACTCTATTCACCGCACACGTCCATAAAAGCAATACACTGAACAGTTGTCAGTCATATCATCAAATGGAATCAGATATTAGCATTGCAAAAGGAATCGTAAGATGGGTTGGATGGCCCATTGTGAAGTCTATTTGCTCCGCTCACACTTGCATGGGAACTAAGCGGTGCTTTGAACAAAGAGGGGAGAAGGCTGCAGCGATAAACCTATGCTTAACAGAAAGCCTTAACACAGTCCCCTCTTTCATCGGCAATGCAGTGACATTTACTTATCACACTAAACAGACATCCATCTGACCTTTCTGCTACTTTGAATGGCATCTGGATATTCCGATGGAATAATCGGGAATAGTAAAGCACTGATTTAAGGGAGCGATACTCCATTCTGGTGGCAGTCACGCCCCGGCATAAAAGTCTGGACATCAGACAAAGGCTTGAAGGATAACCTGGGGAAAGGCTCCAGCAAAAAGAAGGGTAGGACTCAATGCCCTTGCACAAGGGAAAATGTTTACCACCTTGAAAGGACAGAGGAGAACGGGGAATGTAGCAACCACTATATGTAGTATGGAGAACAATAAACCCTATAGGAAGATGTGGTGACAGTCCCTATTCCCATTTTAAAAACTCAATATAAATGGTTAAACTATGTACTAATGTTAATAAAACAGACCTTCAGATGAAGTGATACCAAAGTGCTTTAAAGGGGAGGAGAGGAGGAAGCAGAGAGATATAGAGAGAGGGTAAAACAGATATAAGGAAGGAACAGTGATCTTACCTGTGTAGACAAAGCGTCCTGGCGCCCCTTTGCAGAACTGCTTGGATTTGTAGGAGAGCGTGACCTCCACAACCCCTGGGATGTGGCGAGGGGGCGTCTGGACCCGGATGGCGTGGGGCGTGATTAGCTGGAACACATCAACACACACACTCGTTTAACGCTAAGAGTAGTGCACTGTGGGAGGTATGGTCTATTTACGTTCCTTGTCATTTCTTACTATACAATAAACGTACTTAGTCTTAGTTCGATCTCAAAGGTTCATTTACAGCATCATCCACAACTCTGTCTAGCAAATTCACATTTAATAATTATAAAAGTAATTTAGCAGACAATAATATCTGGAGCAACTTCCAGTTCAGTCAGTACATATGGACAAACGATGAAGCATGGTAAACCCAACCGAATACACACTGATCAAAGCAGTGAGATTGACAGTTAATTCTATGTGTGTATGTGTTCCAGATAGAGACTCTGTGGAGTGGAGGCATCTGCCTGACTAACAGAGGGAGCCCAGCCTTATGCACTACGCCTTACTCTGAGTTTCTTCACCTAGTCTTCATGTGTATGTGTGTGTGCGTGTGTGTGCGTGCCTGTATCTGGACCCACCTCACTCCAGACCAGCATAGTGCCGAAGACCACCTGCAGTCCGTCAAAGAAGTTGTCTCCGATGATGATGACAGTGGCTCCTCCGGTCGTCCACCCCTCACTCGGGCTGATGGCTTTGATGCAGGGCGTAGCTGCTTCGGAAACACAGACAGCGGAACGGGTATGACTTATACTTATCAGGACCGTTAAATCCCCCAACTTGACAATCTGGGTGGTTACACTTTTGGGGAAAAAATGTGTCATTTGTTTATGAGGGTTATATGCTCAGGTTTGCAATATGACTGATATAATGCAAGGGCAGCATTAACAAATTACATACAATTGGTGTGTTTTTTCCCCAAACAGATTTCTAATTGCATACAGTCCTGTCGTCTATGATGTCAATTAGTTCAGTCATAGAAAAATGCACAGTTATGATTTTTTTAGATGTCGGAGGATCAATAAACTCAATAGAAACATTACAGTGTCTCCTGCTTGACCAGACTAGGCACAACAGAATGGAGACAGACAGGCTGACTAAATGGTCCTGTCTACAGGATATCTGGCCAAACAGCCACAGCACTGCAAAAATGGAAAGAGGCAAGTGATCAAATAATTACTGTGGCTTGCGGTGGAGGTGGGATACATTTGCCACACAGTCTGCAAGCAGATCGTATGTCTGTCAGAGACAGATACCAATCCAATTGATATTAGGATGAGTGTAATATCATAGGCCTACTGGTCCATGGTGTAAAGGTAGCCGTGCTAACTGTGCCCTGGAGTTTTGGAACTGTATAGCCTTCTCAAATGTAAAGATCATCCCAAAAGAGGAGGCGTGGGAAACAGACTTAAGGGTTGAATGGCAATTGAAGTCAGTAGATTATAAATGAACGCAATGGGCTTCGTCCAATGGGATACTGTATGACAGAGTCTCTCACACCGTTTAACAGTTTTCTTAGGGTGTTGTTAGAGAAGAGGCTTTTTCTAGGTAGTCTACTGTCATCGTTATTAATTTCCCTCTGTCACAGCAGTAAACACACAGTCAAACGGGGGACTCAAATAAATAAAACAAAATGTTGTGAAACAGACTATGGAAACTTTGTACATTTATCAAGGGGGGGGGGCTTAGGGGGGATGGAACAAAGACAGGAGCAGATGTTGGCTTTATCGCCTCTCAAAACATCCCAATCTAGCTGAGATGAAAGACGGTGAGATTCCCTCAGTGGGGCCTTGACTTCAGTGATAGCCTTCTCGAGTCTGCATAGGGAGACAATGGCACTCTGATTCCAGTCACACAATGGCACTGTACTGCTCTGCTCTGGTGCTGTCAGTGGTGACCAACCATGGGACTCTCTCTCAGTGTTTCTATGAATGCCTAAGTACTGTTTATCCAGTGTATCCCAATGCTCTTGTCGTTTTTCAACTCAGAAACTTAGAGAAGTTAGTTCAAAGTGATACGTTTAAACCGTTTCACTGTGCCTAGCCAGCTCCTAAGCTGTGTGGCAGGTAGGGGACAATGTTTTAATATTGCTGGTAAGAACAAGAGTACTATTCTTTCTTACAATATGGCACCATGTTACGTCATAACCGCAAACGACACGGTGAGGTAGATTTTACAAAGTGATGCTGGGGTGTTTTTTTTAGGGCTTTGGTAATAAAAGGTCCCCACTTCAATGAGGATGTCATCATCTTTTTCCAGATATAAGGATATGGTTTCATTTAATCCAATAAAGAGGATGATGTAATTAAAAGTCGGTTGTTCAGTGGGGCAAAAGAAAATGGGGAACCATTATTTTCACCAAAGCCAAAGTTTTTAGACACTGGTATACGGGTGGCCAAAGACACCAAGATGTATTAAGGTTTTAGAGAAATTGTTGTCTGTAAGTGTGAGGTAGTTGTACCTTCAGAGGGGTCCAGGCGTCGGGCTCTCCTGCCATGTTTGGAGTTGTTGTGGACAAACATGTTGTCCGAGACAGCAAGGACATGGCCATCCACGTTCACCGTAGTGGAGACCACCACCTGTGGGATAAACAGAGAACTTTAACAATATACTGTTGTTTTCAATTGATGTACCTGCATTGTGAGCAGAATGAGAAGACATATGCTGTGTGGAACTATAGTGGCAGGTTTAACAATAAATGTGGTCTTACCTGAAACCTTCTCATGTCTCGTGGGTTCCCTGCATTTTTCAAACAATTCTGATTGCACTTGAGGAAGAACTTCAGGAAGAATCTGTAAACACAAGAGAAAAAAACATACATACTACATTAGAACACTGTTTCATCAAGAGGTTTTATTCAAACACTGAAAACAGTTAATCACATCTGAATGATGATGCAATTTTCAATATGATGCACGCAGGAAAAAAAAGAAAAAAAAAGAGTTCATACAATCAAATGCAACCATGCTTTTTACTTGCTATGTGTGTTCAAAATCAAACTAAAGGACATCTCGCTCAGTAAACATTTCAAAATGCTTGAATAAAATCTTGAATTATTTGAATATTTTTTGAAGCAACCATTTTCTTCATTTTGTTCAAATTAACACAAAAAGACACTCCTTCTCCCTCCAGACTCATGGTGTCTCATTAGGGTTGGCTTTTGATTTGTCCAATCCTTTCTCCCATGTGTTGATTGACCGTTGTTACGGCAACAGAGGGGTATTGATTGGGAATGGATATCAACGAGGATGGGCCGTAATAACCCAGTAGTTGGAGCTAAGATTCCCAGCCATACAGTAAAAATGGATTGCCGTCTGAATGCATTTCCCACTGCCATGTTATCTCTGCACATCCATCTCCTGGACCATAAGTCCCCTATTTTGATGGAGCGCTTTCTTTTTAATTGCCACATTATCACAATAATAATCCGGGCAGTTAACAACTGGCAAGGTCACAGACAGCCATGTCACATTAACCAAGGGATAACCTCATCCAATGCAGCCGCCCATTTTTTTTGTTGCAAAGGATGCTGGGAGTCTCCTGTAGTGGAGAGCGGCCCTGTCAAGAGATATAAATGGTTGCTATCTGAAGAGAGCATCGATTTCTCCCTAACAAGACAGTAACAATATCTTTAAAACACACAGTGGTGAGCGAAGCGATTTTCTCATTGATCAATCAAAATATATATCTAAACCGCCTCGAGTGGCCGTACAGTGATAGAAAGAGAGAAGGGGTGTGAATTCAAAAGAGCCCTGTTGCGTAAAGAAATATGCTAATTTTGTAATGACACATTGAAGAAGATAAAAAAAAGTGCTACTCTATTTAGCCGGTATTGACTGAAACTTGATCTGGGGTGCACTGTAGGCTACTAATGCCCTTTATGGCAATGGAATACAATAACATGGGGAACCCATCCCCAATTCATATGATATCAGAGTCCTTGGGAGGAGAGATATAGATCAATAGGGATTGAATTAAAAGGCAGCTGGAGACAAGGGCCTGGTAAGCCAACCAGCCGCACTGTTATTACAGCTATACCGTGTTTGAACCAGAGCAGAGCTCAGCCAAGCAAGCACACCCCAAAAAATTACGAGAAACTGGGACATACCCTACTAGAAGCCCTGGGTAGAGCCAGTTCAGAGTTAAGATTCACCACAGCTCTCCAAATGACAAGAAAACACACAAAAAGAGAAAGCACAAAAATAGGAATAGAGTGATGAGGGTGAGGTCTGTGGAGGGGGGAGTATGTGATGTTGTCTCGGCGGCCCCGGATCCTCCATCTGCCACTGGGCAGGAGTTGACAAGGAATGTAAGATTCCAGGTCTCTTCATGGAAAAGCGGCACCAGATCAAAGCCTGGTTCCCTTTGGAATGGTTCTGCGATAGCAGCTCGGAAGCAAAGGGGGAAGTAGCTGCTTGTAGAAGATGACAGGACGGAGGTTGAATGTTGATCTCAACTTTGAGAAATGGGAGCGAGAGAAAGGGGTTCGTTTTCAGGCCAAGCTTGTGCTGTAAACTGTATTACTTCACAGCTGCACAATGATTTTGTCACTTGAAAGGGTTACCCAATACCATCAGAAAACTCAACAGATAACTTCACTAAGATTGAATGTATGAAATACATTTCTGTACATTTGGAGCAATTTCAATCCCTTGTTTATAAACCACCAGGGTTTTCATTATATCAGAAATATAATGACTATACACCTGTTCCATTGGCCTATTTTAAGAGTATGAGCATTGAAAAGCCTTTTGAAACCAGTGTCATGCTTCAGACTTGCAGCGATTATTTTGTTCTAGCTTCCAAATTGGCAGAGAATTTTAATGACAGTTTATATGAGACATATGATGGTGAAACATCATTATCACATCAGGAGAGACTAGAGTTAGTGGGAGAAAATGACTCTCTGGCTTTTGGCAGCTGCACCGCTCAGCGCTGGAGCCCATCAAACTTTTTTTACCATGTTTTACCATATATTTAACTTAAAATATTCCATAATATGTTATACTATGGTATAACAGAAGCCATGGATTACAGGCAACATCCACACTGAGCTAAAAGGCTAGAGCTGCCGCTTTCAAGGAGCGGGACACTAATCCGGACACTTATAAGAAATCTGGCTATGCCCTCCAACAAACCATCAAACAGGCAAAGAGTCAATACAGGACCAAGATCGAATCCTACTACACCGGCTCTGATGCTCGTCGGATGTGGCAGGACTTGCAAATGACCACGGATTACAAAGGGAAACCCAGCCGCAAGCTGTCCAGTGACGCGAGCCTACCAAACGAGCTAAATACCTTCTATGCTCGCTTTGAGGCAAGCAATACTGAACCATGCATGAGCGCACCACCTGTTCTGGACGACTGTGTGATCACGCTCTCCGTAGCCGATGTGAGTAAGACCTTTAAACAGGTTAACATTCACAAGGCCGCAGGGCCAGACGGATTACTAGGACACTTACTCAGAACGCTGACCAGCTGGCAAGTGTCTCTTTACTGACATTTTCAACCTCTCTCTGAACCAGTAGACTCTTCTATACCAGAGCGCCAAGTCTGGGACCAAAAGGCTCCTGAACAGCTTCTACCCCCAAACCATAAGACTGCTGAACAGTTAATCAAATGGCTCCCGGACTATTTTCATTAACCCACTTATAGTTTTTTTTTGCACTGACATTCTTGCACTGGCTCTATGTACACTCACTGGACACTACCCACACACTCACACATACTACGAACACACACACACACACATATTGATGCCATACACACACACTCACACATAGACACACTTTCACATACGCTGCTGCTACTCTGTTTATTATCTATCCTGATTGCCTAGTCACTTTTACCCCTACCTACATGTACATATTATCTCAACTACCTCGTACCCCTGCACATTGACTAGGTACCGGTAGTCCTTGTATATAGCCTCGTTATTGTTATTTTATTGTGCTACTATTTCCTTTTTTTTGCTAATCTTTTGTTACTTTTTAACTCTGCATTGGGAAAGGGCTCGTAAGTAAGCATTTCACGGTAAAGTCTACAATTGTTGTATTCCGCGCATGTGACAAATACAATTTTATTTGATTGATTTGATCTCTCCAGTTTCAGTCTTTAGTGTATCTGTTACAATCCAATGCACATACACACCTGATTGGATGTTATTTCAAACCTCAGAAAAATATACACTTATAAGAATAAGAATAAGGGAATTAACGTTATTTATAACAGTTACATGGAGAAAATCAGATGTCTCTGGAATGAAAATGGATGGCCCTCCCTTCAGCAAAATATATTTTACCTAAACCCTCCCTCAACGCTTGAAAAACAACAACAAGTGACCCTCCCCTATACGCAAAATAATTATTAAAACAAAGTTTACCATCACTTCTTGGACAGATCAGAGCCTTAGATATGCAGTTTTAGAAACTGATCTTTGTCTTGTAAGCATTAAATGGCAATGCACTAATTTTGATAGAGCACAGGGCTGCAGGTCAGAAGGTTGTGGGTTCGCAGACCACCGTGGACAAAAGTAGGGGTGGAAAGATCTCCTTTATAGTAAAGTTATTGCATGAATCTATCATCGTATTTACAGGTCTGAGAAAATAATTGCCTTTTATAAACATGTCATGCAATTCTATGTCATTTTACATATTAGCAGAATATTTTTTAATACCACACAAATTACCGGCTAGGAATGGACAGAGAGATAGGCCTATGTGTTCATCTTATCATATTTCTCCAATGCCAAATCAGTGTGTCTTGTTTGCAACGAAACAGTCCCTGTTTGTAAATAATTAAATCTGAGAATCTGAGCATGGTACTTTCAAAAGCTAGGCCAACTTTTTCACCCCAGACAGCAGGCCTACCTACGCAGAAAAATGTATGCTTTAACAGCTGGCTACTCTTCTTCCGTGGCATAACCCAACGAGAGGTCACAAGTGTTTCCCTAAAAGCTGTCTGGGTTTAAACATATTCTATTGTACAGAAAGTGAATAGCTTGATCAATTAGATTACTTCCCAAGCAAAGTCAGCCTCTGAATGTCAAAGAGACAAAACAATGATATTCCCATATGCATCGGTGTCACATCTTTCCCGGGTATTTTATAGCTTGTTTCTAGCATAAAGCATTGCGGACCAAAGCGTTGTTATAGATCACTTTATATGTGACTCGTTTCATGAAGCTAGGCATATGTCGCACATCACTACTTCACAGGAGAGACATTTGAACATATATATTTTTTTTTTTATCAAAATGCATTTTGGGGGGCAGAAATGCCTTCTGGAACTTTCATGTGCCTTAATAACAAATGTTTATGCTATCTGTAAATACAAATACAATTGCTAAATTACGAGCCTAGTTGGTTTAGCCACGGAAAAAGACAGGAACCTTCCCACTAGCCATGATTGGCTGAGATAATGGATGGGCTGGACATGCCGGGAGATGAGTTCGGATTGGTCTGCCATGTAGCATGCTTCTGTCTATAACATGAGCTGCTCAGTATGTGTTGATAATCCTTTCTACTGCAGCTTTTTTGAAAGATATGATGTTAGCCATCGAGAACTACAAAAGTTTTGCTACTTTTCTCAACAACATTGATGCCCTGAATTTAGCAGGCGCTATCAACAAAGATCAGTTGGAAAAAGTTGTGATGGGCTACTTTCTGCACATGCCGCGGTCAGTGTGAACCGGAGTGACTTGACACAACGCTGGCCAAACATGTAGCTACAAACAAAATTGTGTTAAATGGTTCCAGTCTGCCGTGAAGCATTCATCCATTGATATGGGTAAGAGTCTAGCTACATTTTCAGATATTTT